AGCTGTAGATTAGAGTGGTTCGTGGTTCAAGCAAAGCCTCAGGCCGAGGAGTTAGAGGGGCCAGGTTGCAGAGCAAGTCATCAGCTCTACACAACCCATATGGTAAAAACTTGTTGTTGTTGTTGGTGGTGGTAATACTGCTGCTGCTACTTCAGCGATGATGATGACGGACGATTGTTGGTGATGGTGTGGTGGTGGTGGCTCACTCACTGTTGGTTGTTGTCGTCATGTCATGATACAAATTCTGGAGTAAGAGAAGCAGGATGGATGGATGGAGTTGAACATGAGGGAAGTATCGGCAAAACAATGCAAACTGTGGAGTAGACGAAGAAGAAGCAATACAAACGGAGAGATAGGCCGTATGTTGTTTTGTTAGTCACAACAAGTCAGGCAGCTGTTTTAAAACTGCTAACTCGTGGAGTGTGTGTGGACGAAGCGAACGAACGAACATTGGTCTCAATGTGGCTGTATGTAGCTGGCTGGCTGGCTATGTTTGTGTGTAATTTCGTATTTTTTGTTTTGCTTTTTTACTTGCTTGGATGGATACGAAACGAAGTTAGTGGGGCGTTGAAGAAGTAATAAGCACGATGAGGTTTGGACAGGTTTGGGCAAACACAAAAGCAAACTACAGCAATAAAAAACACATAAGAATACAGAGTATTAAGTCAGAGTTTTGTGGAGGATGATGACGGGGCGAAGTCAAACATAAGGTAATGGGCGAATTAGATGGGTGCTACAACAATTCTTTTTTCCGAGATGTTTCGATTTTATCCACCGAAAATATTATATTAGTATTAATTGATACAACAATTACCGGCATTCCATCACACGAATTTGCAACCACTCGTAATTCACTTTGTTATTTTTGGAGGTCACCCATAAAACGAAGACACCAAAAAATATATGAACACATTCAACCCGCACACTGAGCACCAACATTACATCGCAGCTGAGCACTACATAAGTCCCCCCCAAATAGCAGAAGCAGCACCAGCAGCAATCCATTTTTACCTACCTCATAAATTCAAAACAATTGTTGTAATTCCATTCCAGCAGCCAGCAAATACTTTCTTCATTCTCTGTTTAGTTTTGATTGACCTTTTTTCCACTCTTTTTTACGGCATTCTTTCATAACCTCTTCCGTTGGCGATGCGAAACGCGACGAATTTTCTTAATTTTAATGCCGAACACAAAATATATTCCTTATAAATATTTACTGAAATTTTCGCAATTTCGTTGAAAGGAATGCGAACGACAAAAAAATTGAAAAACGTTCCATCTGCTAACGAATGGGAGGAGAAGACAAAATGGCCGATAAAGATGAATTGAAAATGGTATAACCGAAAGTTTACGAATGAGGTGGGATGGAGACTAAATGGAAACCGTGTTGTTTACGAATGAGGTTTAGACAAAAATGTCAAAAATGGAACGAAAGAAAATTGAAAACGTTCCATCTGCTAACGTAGATGAGAAATTCCCAATAAACAAAAATTATATTTCTTATTTTGGTTGTATTTATGATTTTGTTAGCCAGAAAATTTTTTTAATATAATGGTGATTTATTTATTTGCACACCATCAGAGTTAAGAGTAGAAATTATCTAAATGTTTTCTAACATCCCCTGTTTATTTGAAATTGTTGAAATTGGCAACCCATCAGGGTAACTACTGAACAGCTGTTGATGTGTTGATTAGTGCAAACGTAGCGTGTATCCAATTGGAATTATTAAAAGGAATTTTCGATGTTTGAATCATGGTACATATTTTACAGAGCTATAGCCATGATGCAATAATAAGGTGAAGTATCAAAACAAAAACATTTGTTTTTGTCTCGATTATCTGTCAAATTTTTGCATATAATTTTTCAAACGGTTGGTAACACTACACATCGAATTCAAGTAGAAATTACCCACTTTGACAGTTAATCAAGACATCAGCTGCGCTAAATGGACTACCTGTTAATTGTGTCATGGCTATAGCTTTCAGAAGGTTGATTTTTAAAGCTCTACAAATTTTGTGTGTCCAATTGGAATTTCCAATGTTTATACCATGGTAAAAATTTTACAGAGCTATAGCTTCCAGCTGATTAATTTTTTGTAGAGACCTTTTTTTTCAAATTAAAATACATATTTTGGAATAAACCAAATATGAAATGAAAAATTTCATATTTCTAACATGATTTGTGGAAGAAATTCCATTCATTTTTTGGAGACAGGTCGGTTTTATTTATATTGACACATGGAGTCATAAAGTAGAGCTTTAGTTTTTCTTATCTCCCAAAACTCTTCTCCAATTTTTAACTAGACGAAATTGGCCTAATAAGATTGATAGCCATACATTACGCTTCTTTACCAGCTCTACAAACGTTATGGAACACATATAACGGACAAATTGTTTCGCACCAAACTTATATTCATCCTTAATCTATTCAAACACAGATATTTTAATAATTATTGCTCATATTTACGTTCACACCCTCAAACGAACATCATTTCAGAGAAACAATACTCTTTACGATACTCCACTTCATTGGTTTCATCAACATTACGTTACGTTTATCACTAATTGCTCGAGTTAGCCCACATACATTCGATAAATGCAATTAATCGATAGTTGATTAACTATCCGTATATCAGAAGTGGCAGGGATGGAAAATGAAAAATGTGAAAAGGTACCAAAAGGGTAATTTTTTAATAAAAGAGTAATTTTTCAAGAAAATACAAAAAAAAACATTTAATTCAGTTTCATAAAGATCGATTTTCAAGATATCACTTAGTGTATCTTTCTGATATTAGAATTCTTGCTTCTTTCGATTGCATTTGAATATGTACCTCTTTCTCAATATACCCCAATATACCCCAAACTAACATGAATTCAAGTCCCAAAGTGCTCTTGAAAATATTGAAGTAATCACGACGACTAGGAATGTCATCAATTTGCCTACCTCAGGAGATAGCACAGAGTATGCCAAATTGAGTATTTGACAGTAAAGTCGGGCGGGGCCGACTATATGATACCCTTCACCACTATGGGTATGTTAAACAGGACTATTAACATGAAATTGGATGAAATAAAATATGTGATATTTATCTAAATATGAATCGACTTCAAACAGATATCAATAGGCCATCCGTTGGGCTATGTCTGTACTTCAAGACAACGCAACTACGTAATTCTATGCTCAATTTTGTAAGTTGTGCAAAATTTGATGTCAATCTGACTAACATGAAGAGTTTGATGTCCAATTTACTTAAAATCGGGCGAAAATATATATGGAAGTTATATATAGATTATACTAATTTCAGTACGTTTTGTTCCTATCAGTCATATATTGGATCATTGGTGCGTCAATTACATAAAATCAATCTATAATATAAGGGATCTATATCTAAATCTGGACCGATTTTCTCGAATCTTGGCACACATCATTCTGGACTAAATTCAGCACGTTATGCCAAATTTCGTGCAAATCGAAGGATATATAGGGACTTTGGTGCACCATTTACATGAAATCGGACGAAACTATATATGGGAGTTATATCTAAATCTGAACCGATTTTCTCGAAACTTCACACACATCATTCTGGACCTAATTCAGTACTCTATGCCAAATTTCGTGCAAATTGAATGATATATAGGGACTTTGGTGCACCATTTACCTTAAATCGGACGAAACTATATATGGGAGCTATATCTAAATCTGAACCGATTTTCTTGAAACTTGGCACAAATCATTCTGGACATTATTAATTATGCTGTGCCAAATTTCGTGCAAATCGAAATATATATAGACACTTTGGTGCACCATTTACATTATATCGAGCGAACATATATACGGGAGCTATATCTAAATCTGAACCGATTTTCAAGAAATTTTACACACATCATTTTACACTCAATTCAGTACGCTATGCCAAATTTCGTGCAAATCGAAAGATATATAGGGACTTTGGTGCAATTTCAATAGTGTTCGTCCTTGGGCCAAATAAGTGACTTGTGCCAAATTTCATCCAAATCGGATCATAAATGCGACCTGTACTTTGTTTACAATTTAACATCAACAGATGGACAGACGGACCGACGGAGGGACGGACATGCATAAATCGACTCAGAAAGTGATTCTATGGATTTTCTCAAAAGGAACCATGTGTCTATCTCGTTTCCTTTTGCCTGTTACAAACATATGCACAAAGACATAATACCCTGTTCCACAGTGTGTTGAAGGGTATAACAAATTGGAACTCATTAACTTATTTTAATGTCATCAGAACAGTTATCAGTCGTAAACCTGTTCATTTTTTTCTAATCCAAAAAAAAAAAAAAAAATATATATATACATGTTTTAATGAAGGTTTGGAATGGTACTAAATTGGTCACGGGGGTACTACGGTACTTTTTTGGGTAAAAAGGTACTGAAAAAAGTACTATAGTACTGAATTTTCCATCCCTGAGAAGTGGACATAAATTGACTAGGAACTAGAAGCAAAAGTTAGTTATTTTTTTATAAAAGTTTAGAAGATTAATCAATAAATTCTGAAAAAGTAGATAAGGGATTGAAATAAGAAAAACGCATTTTTGGATAATATTTAAAAAATCCTAAGCCTATATACAGCCTAAGGAGTTTTTTGTTGTAATTTGTGCATTGAGAGGTTCCTTTATTCATTGCTGTTGTTTTTTTTCGCTGGAGATTAAATCAGTAACGACTACTACCAAAGCCAGCCCATATAGAGGGGCACCGACTGATTGAAGAAAAAAAGAAAAATACAAAAGAAAACAACTAATCTTTATCACATGCACACATGTGAGAGTGAAAGCGTGTGGAAAAACTTCATATTTTCATAATCATAATAGGAAATTTGTCATCGCCTTGCCGCAGCGGTGTGTGCATCAAGCAGGTGGCTGCCTGGCTGGCTTTGCATTGACTCAAGGTCGTTTACATTCTGCTGCGGTGTATTAGTCTTTTGTGGGAGCGAAACGGAAAAATAACAAAGCAAACAACAAAGCGCTTATCTTTCACTTGCAAGAATGGCCATTAGTTTCGAGAAACATCGGCCAGAAATCGAACGAGCGTGGAAAGATGTCTTGGATGACAAATCGCCAACAGATTGGTATGTATGACAGCGAAGGGGCACTCCCCGAATTCACATCTAAATTTGCATATCAATAAACAATGTGTTGTATCGATTGGCTTTCATTTTTATTGCTTCTTCAGGGCTTTGTTTGGCTACGAGGGACAAAGCAATGACTTGAAATTGGTGAGCAGTGGGGACGGCGGTGTAGAGGAATTATGCGAAGATTTGAATAGTGGAAAAATTATGTATGCCTTTGTACGGATTGAAGATCCCAAAACGGGTTTGAAAAAGTTCCTCTTGATCAATTGGCAGGTGAGTGTGACAAATTGACAAATCCAAATGGGAAACCTGATAATAATTTTGCTTTGTAACATTCCTTTTTTAGGGTGAAGGAGCTCCTGTGTTACGCAAAGGTACTTGTGCCAATCATATACGTGATGTAGCCAAGGTGTTGTCTGGAGCCCATTTAACAATAAATGCCCGTAATGAGGATGATATTGATTTGGAACGTCTGCTCAAAAAGTTGAGTACCGTGAGCTCGGCATATAGTTTTAAAGAGCCACGCACTGTACAAGAGGAACAGAGGGCACCCGTTGGCACCAACTATACCAGGGTTATACCCACAAAAGAATTGAATCCAACGGTAATGCAAGATTTTTGGAAGAAGGAAGAAGAGGAGGAGAAACGTCGTTTACAAGCCGAAAAGCAGCAACGTGAAATGGAACAAGCCAAATTGGAAAAGGAGCAGAGGGCACGAGAAGAGAAGGAACATTTGGAACGGGAAAAGAAATTGCAAATGAACAATAAGCTACAGCCGGCTCATGTACCTATTAAAACGTAAGCATTAACAAAATGTGTGAATATAGAATTGAATACTTAAGTTTCATTTCGTCTTACAGATCTCCACAGCCGCTGAGCCCCGAAAAGACAATGCCAAGTTCAGCATTGACAGAAGCAGAACGTATGCGACAACAACGTAGTCAAGAGGCCAAGGAACTTATAGGCTCCAGGGTAGGAGCGGCTAAGGCCATGTTTACCAAACACACTAGTGAAGGTCAATTAATAAACAAGTAGGTTACAAGAGGGGTATTTTAAATGCTTCATTTAATAGTAATCTATTTTATTTCATATCTAGACTTAATACAGCACCCCCTGCAAAACCAGCACGCAATTCCATTGCTCAACGCATTAATGCCTTTAATCAGCCACAGCAACAACCCGAAACACCATCAGCTCAACAACCATTACCAGGCAAAATTACTTTACCCAAACAGGCAATAATTGCCGAAGAACCCAAGGCCCCAGAAAAACCAGTACCAGTTCCAACAGTCGCTGTTGAAACACCCGTGGTCAAGATTGAACCCATTGCTGCAGTTAATGCACCCTTGGAACCAGTCAAACCTGAAATCACAGCAATTGCCAATAATGATGATGATAATCACAATATCGATGATTATCCCCTGGAACCAGATACTGAACAGTATTCCACCATTAAACGGTCACCGCATAGCAAATCAAATTCACTGCAATCACCGGACGATACATCATCGTCAAATAACACCGATACAGCTTTATATCAGGACGAGGAAGAAGAGGTTGTGCGCACAAAAGTTTCCGTAACTGTGCAACAATCACAGTCACAAACACCAACGTCCACCAATAAAAATGGTTATATGGATAGAAATGAAAGTAAGGGCATGTCTTAAATGTGGTATAGAAATTCCGCAATAATTAAAACTGTCTAAAGCGATACAGTAGGCCACGGATACAAGAACATCTTATATAAGAAAAACAAGGATATAAGAAAATGTTTCACCCATATATGAAAACAGTTTGTTATATAAAATACATTCATATAAGAAGTTTTTCTTATATAACAAATGCTTATAAGAACAACGTTGTCGTTTTTTTATGTTCTTATATCCGTGGTCTACTGTATATGTAAATTTTGATAAATTTTAATAATTAAATATTATTCTTCTGAACTATTTTTAGTTAATGATCTGGTCAATGAAGATGACTTTATATGTCAAGATACTTTGGGCGATTTGGGTTTGAGGGCCCGTGCTTTGTATGATTATCAAGCAGGTATATATGCAGATTTGTTTTTCTTCAACAAAAGATATTTAATGGTACCTTTTTAATTAAATTTAGCTGATGAAACCGAAATCACATTTGATCCTGGAGATATCATCACCCACATTGACCAAATAGATGAGGGTTGGTGGCAAGGTCTTGGACCAGATGGCACTTATGGACTGTTTCCGGCAAATTATGTCGAAATTATAGACTAAATATAAGGGAATTTACAACATTTTACTCTTTACAAAGAAACCAGCAACAAGTAGTAGCAGAAAACAATTACAAAAAAACACACCTAAGGAAAATTCCAAATGTATACATCAAAACAAAAAAAATCTTCTGATAATAAGCAATAACTAGCAATCACCAGTTTTTTTGGTAACGAACACCAACACAAGAGTATTCACACAAAGTATTTAAAACAAAAACAACAGCAACTAATCATCACATAGCTCATCATAGTATTTATCAGAAGTATTTATCCTTACAATAATAAATCAGCATTGTGGCAGTTTGTAAACCATTGGTGCCAATCTATTGGTTTAATTTCGTTTGTTAGTCTTTATTATGATTAAAAAAGAATCATATCATTTGTATTGTTTTGTTAATGTTGTCCTAAATATGATACAATTTTTAATACATTCATTATGTGTTCTATGACGTCCCTAAGTTTTAATATTGCGTCCTGTTGACTTTCGTTTATTATTTGTTATGCTATCACAAATCTATGTATCTATCTATCTATATAAAAAGAAACAAAAGTAAAACGCTTAGCGTTTATGGTAATTTTTAAGCGTTTGTTTGTAATCAAATATTTAAATAGTTTTGTAATTTCGATATATTCCAGTTAAAGTGTAACTTAGAGCAGCCAAACACTTTCTTCCCAAAAATACAATAATGGCAGTTATTAAGGGCAATTGATAATGTTTACTTACTTTGTATTAATAAACCTTATGAGATTATATATACAAATATTTACTCCCCCCATACTTCTTCCCATTTATATCTACATACATATATTTAAAAAAATTATATAAAACAAAGTATTAACAACAATATTATATACATTCTCGCGTATATACTTTATAAAATCGTTTTTTGCATCAAACAACAGATAATAATATTAAAGATTTTATTATTTGAATTCATAAAACAAAACCAGTCAGAAAACAAAACAGTAACAGCAACATGTACACAAAATGCGCAGTATATAAATGAAAAACAACTATTATTGTGCAATGATTTTCTTCAATAAAACAAAACTATAAAAAAATAAATCACACTATTTCAAATTTTATTTCAAGTGTAAATAATTATCAGAAGGACTAGGTACCGCAAGATCCCATCTAGTCAATTTCAGGGAAATTTCAGCATTACCATCTGCAATGAGATCCTTTATGTTGGCAATGATTTTTCAAAATTTCAAATTTATCGCCTTTCGAAGAAAATTACCTTACACCTGTTATTCGCCAACAAACAGGTCAAGTTCATTAAATGGCATTGCCATTTGTTTACATGGCAACCAAAGAAATTCCCAAACATTACCAAACAATAGTTTAATCGATGTTGGTTACCAAAAAAACAGGACCCCTTAAAAAAAACAAACACTTGAAAAGTAGACAAGTTTGAAAAGTAGAGAAGTGAAAATTCCAGATTTCTATTGGCAATGTTATAACATTAGGTGCAATTTTTTATATCATCTTGATTTTGGAGTAGTGTTTTGCGTTCTGATCATGGGAAATACAGAAAGTAATGTGACAAGTGGTGTCAAGAAACAGGCGGGAGTTTCTACCCAGGCCCTATATAAATTTGTCAATCTGAAAGGCGGTGGTTTGCTGGTGGACATGATGAAGAGAGCTTGTCAAACTAAACAATTCGCCGAAATTGACCATGCCATTAAAACCAAAGTGGAACCGTTTCTCTATAATAAAGGAGCTGGTCGTTATTTTCCAATTTCGAAAATGGTCCTCTTACGCAACAAAGAAAGAGCACGCACAAAACAATTACCAGAAATACGGGCTCTGGAAAATCCCGATGAAGATTTCAATATACATGACTATTGTTCGGAAGTGTCAGAGGCGGAATATATATCAAATCCGAGTGCTTATCGTTTTGTTTGTTGGAATTTGAATGTGAGTAAAAAATCCTTTTGGTGTAACTGAAGCCATAAAGGGTTCATTTTAATTAATTTCGTTGTTTTTCCAATTTCAGGAAAGAGGAGCAGTTGGTGAAACAATTTTACATTTGTGCCTACTCAATGCCTCCTCCCTGCATGCGGATTTGGCCAAGAGGTTGTTGAAATTCTATCCCAAACTTATAATGGACATATACTTGAGTGATGAATATTATGGCGAATCTGTGCTGCACATTGCCATTGTGAATGAAGATCCGGCCATGGTGAAATATCTTTTGGATGCAGATGCTTATGTGCAAGAAAGGTAAACACCAAGCTACTTCATCATTTTTATCAGAATTCTCGATTTATATTTATTTCATTAAAGATGCTGCGGTGCCTTTATGTCAGCCGAGGATCAAAAACCCTCTCGCTACGATTCCCCCGATCATGAATATGTGGGCGTTAATCCCATGACAAACTATGATGGCTATGTCTATTGGGGTGAATATCCCCTATCATTTGCCGCCTGCCTTTCGCAAGAAGAATGTTTTCGTTTGGTTTTGGCTCGTGGCGCAGATCCTGATTGTCAAGATACCAACGGCAACACGGTGCTGCATATGTTGGTGATCTATGAAAAAATCGACATGTTTGATGTGGCCTATGAAGTGGGGACCAACATCCATATAAGAAATGTACAAAATCTGACACCTCTAACATTGGCAGCCAAGTTGGGGCGAGTGGAGATGTTTTTCCACATTTTAAGTATTGAAAGGGAAATCTACTGGCAATTGGGTAGTATAACTTGTGCTGCATATCCATTGTCGAAAATCGATACAATTGATGTTAAAACTGGAAATATCAACAAGGATTCGGTTTTGAATTTTGTGGTATTTGGGGTAGGTAGTGTTCTCCACGACAATTTAATTCGAAAACAATAAAACATTCTTATTCACAGGACAAATTGGAACATTTGGAGTTATTGGATGGTGTGGTCATTGATTTACTTAAAACGAAATGGGAAACATTTGTCAAGTCTCGATTTTACAAACAGTTCTATATGTTCTCGTTTTATTTCCTTTTCTCGTTGGTGAGTTTTATTTCCCGTCCTGGGCCCAAAGTTGATGATGATGAAGACGATGATGCTGGCAAAGAAGATAAAACAAATACTTCAGCGACAAATGCTAGATTGTTGTTTCCCACCACCACCTCCGCCCATTCTAATCGTATAACTGGTATTGACAAGTTACCGTATAGTAAGTTCAGGACAAAATGATCCGTAATAGTTTATCTGTCTAAAAATAACTGGTATTCATTATATTTTAGAAACCTTTTGGCTAAACTTTAGCGAATACATTGATGATGATGGCAGTGCTGACAGTGGCCCTTCCTGGTGGGCTAGCTACGAGGAGTGTCCTTTGATGAATATGGAAACGAATTTGGCAAAGGTAAAGTGCATTTTAAAATCCAACATTTCAAAAAATAGTATTTCGAGCACCGTCCAAAAATTTCTGATAGCTTACACATTGGTTAGCAGTAACTTCATTGAGAAGCATGTTGGCCTTTTGAAAAAATAATAAAATATTCCGATTTATATTGAAAAATAAGGCATCTTTGCCCAATTCAGTAACATGAATAAATATGGAGATTATCTTTTAAATTTCTTTCAGATCCGCATTGTGGCTGAAATAGTTATTTTCTTTGGATCGATATTGTATTTACTATCAGCCCTTAGAGAGGCTAGATTTTTGGGTTATAAAATGTTTGTGGAAAATCTGGTAAGTTTCCCCAGCCAGAGGATGTCCAAACAAACGTTGATGCTATTCAAACTCCCTTTTTGCAGATGACAGCACCCTCTAGAGTAATGTTTTTGTTTTCTTGCTGTCTGATGATGACCATACCCTGGCTAAGGCTTTCCTGTCTCACCGAATTGGATGATCATGTGGCTGTGATGATAATGCTTACCACAGCTCCTTATTTTTTGTTCTTTTGTCGGCAAGTGCAAATAATTCTCCTATTTATTGTCCATAAAAATATAATATTGTGTATTTCAGAGGCTTCAAAACCGTGGGACCCTTCGTGGTGATGATATATCGCATGGTCATGGGAGATTTAATACGTTTCGTTTCGATATATTTGGTCTTTGTTATGGGCTTCTCTCAGGCCTATTATATTATCTTCTTGACATTCGATAATCCGGCGACACCAGAGGAAATCGATGACACTGGAACAAATCCAATGCCATCGCCTATGGAATCTGTGGTAGCCATGTTCTTGATGTCCCTAACAAATTTCGGTGATTATTATGGTGCAATGAGTTCTACCCAACATGAGTATGAAGCGAAAATCTTATTCTTCCTCTTCATGGTAATTGTAAGCGTCTTGCTGGTCAACATGTTGATTGCCATGATGGGTAATACGTATCAGAAGATTGCGGAAATTCGAAATGAATGGCAGCGCCAATGGGCTCGTATTGTTTTGGTGGTGGAGCGCAGTGTACCACCGGCAGAGCGTTTGAAAAATTTCATGCAATATTCCCAGCCAATGTCGGATGGACGTCGAGCTTTGGTGTTGCGTTTGAATATGAGTGTAAGTAGAGATATTTTGGATATTGATGGAATTGTTGTTTATGTGGGATATATATTTGGCATTGAAGTCTGGCTTATTTACTCAACAATCAGATGATCCTATTAAAGAAAAATATTGTAAAACGATAATTAAAGATACCACCCAATTATGAAATATCAATTATCCCAGGACTCTGTATTATTTGTATTTTAACTTGTATGTAATTCCATTTTTATTTCTTTTTTTCTTCAGGATGAGGATAAGGAAGAAATGAAAGAAGTCCAAGAAATGAAACGCATACATCAACGCTTCTCGAAAAAACGCCAAATGGAAAGAGAAGCCAGGGCACGTAAACGTCAAGAGGAATATGAAAAATTCTTTGGGGCAACATCAACGGCCGACAATGAAAATAATAATTTATAAATGTATGTATAGGAGAATTTAATAAAAATGCGAAATGTTGATTTGAAAGCAGATTTTTTAATTTAGGAAATAATTCAGTGAATTCTAGTTAACAAAAAATCTATCCATCTCTTTATTTTTATAAAAAAAAACAATAAATCCTTTATTTTTTTGTAATATATCTTTTATTGTTTTTTTTTGTTTTATAATTTTCAACAAATAGTATTTCCGCATTTATTTCTTTTTTTTTTTGCCGGTTTCGTCATACATAGTGTATTTTTAGTTTTGTTTTTTTTTTTTTGTATATATTTTGTAAATCTAAATTTATTTATTTATATTTAGATGATTTTCAAATGTTTCTTTTTATATTTTAATTCTATAAATAATATCATCGTATGCAATAATGTGTATGTATGTGTAACAAATTGAATTGCATAAAATTAAAAAAAAGAACCGAAAAACGACACTTAGAAACAAAACAAAAGACATCATCTAATCAATTCCTAAATCGATTGTGTTCGTTTTGTTATCAAATAAGAAAAATAAATATAAAATGGCATTAAATAAAAAAGTAAAACAGCAAAAAGAAAACTTAAAATTATAAAAAAAGTAGACAACAAGTAATTGATTGAAATCGAAATGGAAGTAGCATTTAGAAACAAATTTGCAGTTAAATTAGATGTGACAAAATAATGGAGGGCCAAATTGGCTAGCTTTGCTTAGGATTTGTAGGTCACAAATAAGGTTTTTTAAGACGAGTCCTAAGCAAAGTGTAGCCTAGAGCCCTCTTCGGACTTGCTATCTAAAATAAGCTTAAAAAAACATAGTAGCATGAGAACTAAACAAAAAATATTAATAATTTCAAATACATTTTCACTTTTTTTTTAATAATCAAAGCCTTACAATTATATTCATAATCAGAAAGAAATCTTTTTTTCTTTCTCTATAAAAATCGTCTATATGTATAGAAAAAAGATCATAAGAATTACAGGCACTTTATTACTAATTTTTGATTCTATAGTTTTTGTTTTTTGTTTTGTTTTTCACGATAAAGCACTTTGAATTTCAGCATTATTTGTTCTATTGTAGACATAGGGCGAATACAAATAAACGAACAGCAGCAAAAACGGATTATTCCAAATTAACATTGAAGTTTTCTAATTTAGAATATGAAGCCAAGGATTCTTGATTTCCTTTTTGATTGACTACAGCTAAAGATTATCTTTCTTAAGACAATATCGGGGAGGGAGTAAGCGAGTTATACACTCATTTGTTGTTTTTGTTATTATAAGTTTGTAATAAATAGTTAATTAATGTTATAGTGTTCTATTGTTGTGGTTGTGGGTGTTGTTGTTAAGGACATGTGTTAGATGTAAGTTAATTTCGTTTGTTTGTTTGCAGGACGCCATCAGTTTTTTTGTTGTTGCTTAGGAAAATCAACTAAATTCAGCAGATATCAATCAATTGAAAAACCACACATCACATTTACATCCAAACACTCTTCTTCCTCAGCAGTGGGCGTCTTACAATAGTTTTTCTTCTTTTGTTTGGTTGTTGCATTACTTGAGTTGAGATTGCTTGGAAATTGTAGTTTTAATAGTTGCTTTCCTGTAGCAGCTGCTGGTTGTGGTTTTCTGGGCTAGTAATTTCCTTTCTAATCATCATTTCGTTTCAGCAGCAGCGGGTGTGGCAGCATCAGCATCCTTGGCCTCCTCCTTGGCTTGCTCAGTGGACTTTCCTGCTGGCGCCGTGCTTTCTTTACTCTCCTCTTCTGATTTTGTGACATTGGCTTCTGCAGGTGTTTCGGTTTTGTTTTCGACCACCATACCCTCTGGTGGTGGCAGTGGGATGGGCTCTTGGATTTTATTGGCATCGACAGGCTCGTCGGGCTGTTGAGCCTCTACCTTGGTTTGTGAAGATTCTTTGGTTACTTTATTACCCGAGGAGCTTTTCTGTGGTGCCTCAGCGCTCTCCGAACCGTTCTTATTTTCAGCTGCCTTGGTGTTCTCCTCAGCCTTGGCCTCCAGGACATTGATCGAAGCCTGTATACACTTAATGGCTTCCTTACGGGCCAAACGAATGCTTTCCTTGCCATTGGTGTCGATGTTGTCCAGTTTCAAGAGGTTGCGGGTGAGCATCTCATCGAGATAGGCATACTCCTTGTCGCTGCGAGTACCGGTGAATTTTTCTACACGGGTCATCAGTTCCAAGACATCACGTTGAATATCTTGGATTTTGTTGATGGAGTCGACTGTGTGTGGAGTTTGTGGTGGCAGACCGGTGTTCTGTTGGCCCTGTTGTTGTTGCTGTGGCTGCTGCTGAGTATTGATGGGTGTGGGACGTTGTTGTTGGGCACCCTGTGTTTGGGCCTGTGGTTGTGGGAATTGGAAAGGTGATTGTGGCTGATATTGTTGTTTGGGTGGTGTGTAAGCCCGGGCCGAGGCGGAGCTTGGTGTGGCATTTTGATTCGGTATTTCCCTGTTATTGATAATGGGCTCAGCACGACCCTCCACGAATATGGGTATGGTACGTATGTATGTGCCACCGGGAGTTTGCGGTGGTGGTGTCTGTTGCTTTTGCTGAGGGTGTGCCTGGGCCTGAGGAGCATAGTAGGCTTTTTGGACTGGTGGACTAGTTTGTGTGCCGAACTGTGGATGTCTCATTTGAGGCTGGGGTTGCTGCATGGGTGGCGTTTGACGTTGTCCATTCACCGGTATTTGTTGCTGTTGTTGTGGATGATAAATGTGCTGTTGTTGCTGTGGTGGTTCATTGGGTGGAGCTGAGTGGGATCTGGCACCAGCTGGCTCATTTTCAGCAGCCGATTTAACTCCCATATCCATGGTATTGCGCAAGCCATGCTGATTGAGATGATCGGTGTTCACAGCATGATCGACTTCCGAACGTCCGGCATTTGGATCTTCAGTTTGTATGGCAGCGTCACAGACCGTCTTAGAGGGTGTTGGTGGTGTCATTGGTTGATAGTAATGCGGTGGCATTTGTTGTTGTTGCTGTGGTGGCATTTGTGGCTGCTGTTGCTGAGGATGTTGTTGTTGTGGTGGCACCTGCTGCGGATGTACTGTGGTGGGTGCCATGCCAGCTGTGGTGGCACGACGATGTCCAAAGCCTTCGGGTATATATTGACGAAATTCGCTGGGCAAACGATTGAAGAAATCTTCATCGTGGTGTGGATTCTGGACACGTCGACGGCCCAACGAGTTGAATTGTGGGAAACCAAAGTCTGGATCATCATCAAAATAACGAGAAAAAACATCAGAATGAAATGGGGGATCATGTAAACTACTACGCTTACGTGAGGCACCAAAGTCAGCGAACGGATCATGGGCCATGCGTCCTAAGCGGCTGCGTGGAAACATGTCCATGTCAACGTGTGGATCGAAATCAAAGTCCTGCTGGAAATGAGAATAAGAGAAAGCGAGAGATTGATAAGTAGGAGTTTAATTTTTTTGTGGAAATAAATTAATAATTATAATAAAATATTGAAATAATAAAAATTGAAAAAACAAATGATGGCGTATGATTATTATTAAAAGAGAGTTAATCATACGTAGTCATGTTGGAACTCAAGGTCTATAATAACAATTTTTAATTTATTTAATACTATAACTGTCAGAAGGTGACATTTTATAGATTAAAGGCAATAAGAGGTTGCATTTTGTGCAGGTTTATCAGAGCCACGTTGAAGTATATGTATTTAAAATGTTATTTAACAGCTACTTCATTTTCCCCCACTGTGCGTCCTCTTCCCAAAAATTATGGTCACGATTGTTTTTATTATTCTATGCCATTTGGCCGATCATTGCTTTATTAAAAAACGATTTACACTAAAAATTTAATTTCATTTTCAATTACTGTCCGTGTGATGCATACAGAGTGGAGCGACACGAAATAAACATACCTACCATACATAAACAACACATATGAATGTGTGTACACATCGAGACAACATCTGGGTAATAATAAACAGTTTGGTCAGGTTTTTATTATTTGGGATTCTGGTTCTGTTTTGTGTCTCAATTAAATCAAATGTTTGAGGTAATTTTATATGAGATAGAGAATAGAATAGAAGGTAGAAGAGCATACAAACTCATGTGCCATTTAGACAGGTTTCAAGTGTTGCCGGTAACCACTTTAGATAAAAATATATAATGAAATTGGATTTAAATAAAACTATTATATCATCATTTCATTTAAATTATTGTTAAAAATCATTATACTAAAAAACAACGATTGTTCCATTTTCAACAAATTACCGTTAATTACATTCACTAAGAGTACAAAAAGGGAGAGATATATTTGGTCATTTTTGCCTTGGTCTCTTTTTACGAGACATCCCACATAATAATCCGTTATCTCTCTTCTCTTACAAGCCGAGATGTTAGAGAATTATTCTCTGGGTTTCAATGTGCTCTTTTTCTTTTCTGTTTGAAATAGAAAACATTCCGGTAAGAAACAAGTGCGGCCCACATCCACAAAACAAAAATGAAAACAAAAACAACAACTCAACAAGTCACTTTTGCCAGCTAGCCAACGATCAACAAATATTTTTAGCAATGATTCATTTCAAACTCAATAACAAAAAAAAAAACGAATAATAAAAATTAAAAAACAAAACACCTAAAAATCGCCTGAGAATAAAAAGACGAACAAAAACAAACAACAATAAAAACGACACTTTAAAAAAAAACAAGTCCGTTGCCTGGTTGTTTGGTTAGTTGAGCGAAGCAATATCTGTGGTCGATCGATTAAATACAAAAAATTAAAATTACTACAAACGCAAACAACAACAATAGTCACCCGTCATTATTAACAACAACAACTAACCAAAAGTGTGACGTCAATAAAAAAATTAAATTTGAAATTAAGCGAACACTAATTTTTTTACCAACACATCTTTATTTCTAAACAGAGCCGGGCCAGTCAAGCAACTGACTCAAAGAAAGAAAAAAAAAAAACGAAAACATGAACACTCAAAGAAATCTGGTTTTTATATTTTTCTGTGCAAAATTTTGTGGGTCAAAAAAAAAAATTGCTGTTGAAGATAAAAATTACGTCATTATTGAGACGGAGAAACAGATTTATATCAGCAAGAGGTATTGGCTGGGTTGGCTGGCTGGGTGCCTGACTGGTGGTGGCCTGGAAATCGAAAAACAATACACATTCTCTTTAGAAAAAAGTGTTTTTTTGGCATGTATCCGAATCTAAATTGTATGCCGCCGCCATCAACCACCATCATAATGAAGAAAAACGGCGGCGATGAAGGAGACGGAGAAGGAAAATACAAGTAGATGGCCAATATACGCATTGATTGCGATTGGGGTATTTAGGCATGTTTCATATAGCCATAAATATAATGTTTGTACTAAGTACAATGTGTCTATGTACATAGGTTTGTACGTGTGTGTATATTATGTACTTTTCAAATGGGTTATTTGGCCATAACATAAGAGAGAGAATCAGTTTTTTTCTTAAATATTTTCATGAAAATTTTATGCAAACGTCACGTTTTGGTTTCTTTGATTTATTTTGCCCTCCAATGCTTCCTGGGGGGTTTTCGTTTCATAGCCCTCATATGCGGAGGTTCTAAATAATTAACAAGTAGTTTTTGTTAAAAGCAAAATAAAAAAAATATATACATTATTATATTTTAAATATTTTCCGGGGTATTTTTTTATTGAAATGTTATAGGTCATTTGCAGATCAATATTTGTTTGTAACCCTTCTTATATTAATATTCTATGAGAATTGTATTATATATGCACCTCAAAAGGATGTATCAACTTATGCAGGCTTTCTATTGTACTATATCTCCCCCAGGACTACTGGAACTAGTATCGCCATCTCTTACTGGGGTAAGACAGCTGTCGGATCGTCAATAAATTATTTCAAATTTATATAAATTAATTAAATACGCAAGTACATTTTGAGTATTTTTCCTTTAAAAAATAGAAACACTTTGCTCTACGGAAACACAATCTGAAATTGAATCTATAGAAGGAAAAATCCGTACGGGATTTAGTAGGCTCGCAAGTTCGCCAAATTGACAAAAAATTAAATTATATTGCAGTTTTTGACCGTTATCCTTCGAGAACCCGTACTGCCAATACGACTATTAGAAAATTTTGAGGGCCTTGAACATTTTCCGCTTAAAATGGTTTTTAGCTAGCCATATCCAGAAGTCCTTTGAATAATTTGGCGACATGCTTTAGGGCATTTAAAAAAGAGTGAGGATTTAGGGATGTCATAACAAGGACCTGTATTAAATATTGTCGTTGAATCTTTATAAATCTCTCAAAATACCGCATATGGGGAGGGTTCGTTTTCAATATTAAAAATAAAATATTGTGAGCTATATAACGATTTCAAAACACCCATGAACGTTCATGCTCTTTTCGACCCGAATCCTCCTCCTTGACTTCCATTTACCATGAAACACTTATGGATAACTTGTATCATACAGGTTATTATGTCTTAAATCAGGAGTCCTCAGGAGTTCGGTTGGGCTAGAATCATTCAAGGCCTTCCATTGACTTCTTAGCCGAATTGTATGAACATCGGAGACTGCTGAATCCCAATCGCTGAATGTGGAATACACGTGGGTTTTGGTCACTCCAAAATGTAGCCTTGCTATTGGATTGTTAGACCTTGTATTTCCTTTTAATACCCTCAGCCTTATGCCTAATGAGGGTATATACACTTTGATACGAAAAAAATGTGTCTCATCGAAATATTGGTTCACCATTTCTATGGATTAAATCAGACAATTTGGAGTCGATTTTACAGGAATGGTCAAAATTTGAAAGATTTTGGTCAAAATTTGAAATTTTAAAGAATGGTCAAAATTTGAAAATGTCAATATTTATAAATTCAGTATTAGACGAAACGGAAATTCCGATTTAAACAAAACTTCGTATAACCTATTATCTTTACCATTGATCAACTTCTTCTGGTACATGACCCACAAAGAATCAATATTTTATAAGCTTAAAAATTTAATTCGAAACGAATTGAATAACCCATTTGATCCGAACACATTTTTATTTGTTACACTTTCTCTTGACATTGCACCCTACGTTTTTGTGGAAGCTCATCACTATTGTAGAGTATGCTGAGCCCCTCAGGGTCGTCTGATCTAAGGAGAAGCTTCTGGCAATAGTTCTTTGTATTCTCAGGTCTTTAATTTATATTAGTTCTCTTCTTTTATTTTTTGATCGTAACTACTTTATATGGAGATCTATATTTAAGTATTTTTCATCAACAAAAGAAGTCAATAGCCTTTAGTTATTTTCCTAATTATCAACTTTCCACGATCAGATACGATGAAGGTGATGATGGGGTATTAAGTTTCCAAAGTATAGACTTCCAACATTAGATATCAAATTGATAGCACAGATGTTGGATCTATTACATGAATCATTTTCTCGTTATTTGTTATTTTTGTTGCCTTTTACAGCATAGATTCTAGGAAGTAATTGTACGGTTTTGTCTATTGCCGGATGTTAAAGATATTTTTGTTCGCTTTATTAATCAAGCACATCAACCACAAATCGATCAAATGGTATTGTGGTTAACAACAAAATTTTATGCATGCTGCTGTTGCTGGTAACCGTATTTGGTTTTCCGACCATTCCAATCTAAGGTAGTTACTATAAATGTTTAGGAGATTGATTACCCACAACAACAATGCTGGCATTCTCATCAATTCCAACACCTACACTTTCGATGATTCGAAGTACATACATGCTATTATGTCTGTTTTTACATTTTAATAGCTGTTTTCAGTTTTTGTAAATTTGTGTCCGTATTGTCTATAAAAAGCTATTAGCACATTCAAATTGATATTTAAGGCACTTGAGAAACCACAATAGAATTTAAATAATGTAAATGAGTTGGTTTTGAATATTATCTTCCTAAAAAAGTAATTGTTGATATCTTCCTTGAAAACAATTTGATTGATTTTGAAGATTTTTGACAGAGAACATAAATTTAGATTCTAACTTCCTTTGTTCCCTAGGTGGGTGTGGGAAGTAAAGTAAATATACTACAATCATATATATTCCCTTTCAAAATTAATTTGTTTATTTAAATGTCCACTAGAGTATCCAACAAATAATTTCCATTTTACAATTTCTTAATAGCGACCTTGTTTTAACAAAAAAAAAAAAAAAATAATAATAATAATCCCCCCAAAAAGTAAATATCCTTGACCAAAATTTTGGATTTATGAGATTTGTTGTTTTCACGAAAATTTCCCCACGTAACTCATCCGAAATGAAATTCTATTGTAAAATTTACTGCAATAAAAATTATTGTATGGTTTGTTGTTGTTATTGTATTTTTTAAATTTAATTTTTGTGTGTCAAGATGATTTTCTTTTGCTTCGGTTTCTTTG